CACCACGCGCAACCAAATAAAAAAAAACTCACAAAAACACCACCACAATAAAACCACCAACATCACAACACCACCACCAACACTGCACACAACACCAAGCCCAAACACCCACAGTAGTGCCCAAACACCCGACGTCGCCCAAACACCCACAATAGCATCGCGACACCGCTGCTGCAATTCACAACATCACGGCAGTGCCTCGACGCTGTGAACGGCAGCAGTGTCGCGACGCTACTGCCGTTCACAGCAGCATTGCGATGCCGGCAGAGAGGAGAAGGGAGGGGGAATGGGTATGGGTAGGGGAAGGAGAAGGAGAAGGAGAAGGGATGGAGGGTAGTAGCGCCTCGACGCTGAGAACGACAGTGTCGAGACACTGCTGCCGTTCACAGCAGCGTCACGACGTCGGCAGAGAGGAAAAGAGAGGGGGAAGGGGAAGGAGAAAGGAGGGAGGGAGGAGGCGGCGGACGGTATTGTAGGTGAGAAAGGTGAGAGTGGGGAGAAATGAATTATTTAGGGGTGGATATATAATATTTAATACTTGATTTAATTATTAATTTAATACCTGATTTTTGATTAAATAAAATTCACACTTAAATTTTGAATTTGAAAAATTAAATGTCTGATTTTTTATAATTTTCCTAAAATGATTGAATGTTTTTACGTGGGCAATTAAAATATTCTAAAATGGGCCACTGTGGGCTATAAAAATATTATAAAGCCCGCCCGTTAACTGATGGCGCTGTTAAATGAAGTGCCACGTCTGCTTCTGACTCTGACGTGAGAAAACTAGTTTCTTTGAAGTACGCGCCGAATTGCAGCCGATAACTGTGATTGGTGCCACGTCATTAGAAATGTGGGTCCCATCACCGTCTAAATTAAATGATATGGTGCCATGTCATCAATGTTGTGGGTCCTATGTTCTTTTGAGTTTTACAATGTAGCTCAAGATTCAAGTAGGAGACCCCACCAATTATTTGAGGCCCTTACTATTATTTCCGTTAACCTTAGGAGAGATCTCGCCGTTTCACAATTATTTGAAAATTCATTTTTCTATATATTCATTAATTACACATTTACATAATAAAAAATTTCATATTTAAATTTAAATATTTTTCTTACTTTTTTTAACCACGATCTCTTAAAAATCACTATTCAAAACTCTATTTTTCACAAATAATGATTGTTAAATAGGGCATAACAATTTTCTCGGGATAAAGATTTGTTGTTCTCCATAACTCCGTTTCTTTAGTGAGTTTCTTGACGGAAATTTGGCACTTCATCATAAGTTTGAAATGTCAAAGTTTTAGAATTGACAAAATATACAAAGCTTCATTATAATTTTTGAGGTTTCATTTTAAATTATAGCGAGTTGACAAAATTTTAATTAAATACATCATTAAAAGGATGATAAATATGTCCTTGTACAAATTCAAAATTAGTATTGTCAAAATTAAAACTTCACTTAACCCCTATTTGTTGTAGGTTAAAATCTCGATTTCCAAATGAACTTTGGGCTAACCTAGCCTCTTAAGTGATGTCAACGTTCTAGAATTCCAATTTTTGAATACAAATGTACTGGTTTCAAGATCGATTTTGGTTTTTTTTTTTTTAATTGGCTCGTTTGGATCAATTTTAACAGCAACTTGAAACTGATAATGATTTGACACGAAAATAAGTCACTTACTAAAGAAAAGACTCCACAATTTAAGATAAGTTTATGAGGTAGCCTCGTACTTGTAACTTTTGTAAAATTATGTTGTCATTTTACTTGGTAAGATTTGAAATATTAATTCTCCTTTATACCCATTAGATATCCATTAGCTCACTTTTTTATCGGGCTAGAAAACATCGGGAGCCTGAACAAGTTGTTTAAAGCTGTACAAGATCATATCAATGTTCAAATTACTTGAGCGAGTTCAAGTATATTGTACTAAACTCAAAGTTTCTTCGCCCGGATTCAACAATTATTTATTTATTATTCTCAAAATCACTCAAACTCGATTTAATCAATAAATCACCTCAAATTTAACCATCAATTAAAACGAGTTCTATACTATAAACTGGATTTGGGTAATATAAAATTCGAATCATTAGTACAATCATGAAGTCATGCAATATTTATAATGTGAAAGAAACAAAAGAAGAAATTTTATTCTTATATTCACATGATATAATAGGATTATGTTGCTCAAATTATTTCGACTATGTTGGGACACAAATTTTCTCAAAACATTGAACAATGTTCATAAATGTTGTGATCCTTAAATCTTAGCAAGTGGGTCACTTTTAAGTGTCAATATTGTTGCTAAGGGAGGTGCACTCTACTTGGGGCCCTTGGCCTCCTACTCACCCTTCAATAAATGTCTTTAAAATCTTAATACCATTATCAAAATCTGGCTACCCAAAAATAATCACAAATAATGATTAATTTTCAGGAGTTCAGAGTTTCTTGTCAATAGCAAGTGTCAACAACGACAAGTGCAATGAGCTTTCTTAAAAATACAAATCAAAATGTGCGATAAGAATCATGAAATAGATTATTTCCGTAAACGAATACAATTCATCATAAAAGGTTATAATATACAATTATGTTTAAAGTTTCCCATTATAAATTGAAAATGACTCCTAGATGTAGGGTGCAAATGGCTTGTGATTTTTGGGAGTGAGGGGTTTCCCTTTTGGGTTGCCGGCTAAGGAATTTTAAAGAAAATGAAAGATGGGACACTCTTGCACATGGTTCATGGTAAGGTATGTAGAATTCTAAATTGTTGTACATAAGAAAATGCAAACTTATAATAATGTACTGAGAAGAAAGAAAAGCATCTTTAATATGAAAAAAGTCAAGCCAACCATTGGTGTCAACGAGCCGAGCCGGGGAAAAAAAGTTTGAGTTGAGCCCGAGTTTTTACTTGTCTCTTAACTCTCTAGATTTTTGACTATCAACTTCGTCAACTAAAAATGACACCAATAAACCTACCACTCATTAACTTTGAATAATTAGCGATTTCTCTTTTAAATCTTGTGGCTAGCCCTCCTTTGGCATGCCGTAAGGACGTCATATCAAGTACTATCATGAATCAAAAGTAATTATATTTACGTAAGTTTGTGTGACTTATAGCTCAAGATTTTAATTTTTCAATTCAGGAAATGATCATCTTAGCCATCCTTTTCGGTACAAACATTTCATATGACTAGAAAGTGATCGTGTATAAATAAGCTTAAAACTATCTTTTAAACGTAATAAAGCATTTATTTTTCAATTAAAATGTATAAATCATGTTCACTGATTAACAAATATGTACTAAAACATTGGGTGAGGGTCCACCATAGTAGATCCGTGAGGGCTAAATGTGAAACGTCCTTTGGAGACCATTATATGTTTTAAATCTACTTATCAGAAATTTGATGTTCGAAATAAGATCGTGTCACTAGATTCATGTTTGATTCGAGTACTTCTGAGAAAGATGAGAAAGATATCGACCCCTAATTCTACTTTCAAGAGTTCATATGGAATCGTATCAATATATTCCAATTCATCCATTTTATTAGCTTTCTAAATCAACAGAAACCTAAATAAGTTTAATTACAATTTAGTACCCCTGGACTCTTCCATATCCATCCACTGTAAATTTGCATTTTATCCAATCACGGGCATTTATTTAATATAAGCTACATCAACACCAGTGTCTGTATAGTAATTATAGCAAAAACCAAGGTCTCTTTCGTACATCCAACATTATATAAGGCAAACCCCTTCACCATCAAATCCTCCTCCCTCGCTAAAATCATTTTCTTCTAAAAATTTCTACGTGCCAGAAACAAAAATGTCTCCATGCAGCAAAATCCACGGCATTGTACGGCTCCGCCAAATGTTAAAGCGGTGGAGAAAGAAGGCAGCCGACGCCACCTCCCGTCGTATACCCTCCGACGTTCCGGCGGGTCACGTGGCAGTCAATGTTGGCGCCAGTTGTAAACGATTTGTAGTCCGCGCGACGTACCTGAACCACCCCCTTTTCAAGAAACTTTTGGTTCGGGCCGAGGAAGAGTACGGGTTCACCAACACGGGCCCGTTGGCCATTCCTTGTGATGAGTCACTGTTCGAAGAAATTCTCCGTTACTTGGCCGGTAAGAACGACTCAGCCCAATTTATGAGTTTTGAGGATTTTCAGAGATACTGCCACGTAGGAATTCGGAATAATCTTGAACTTTGGGCTGAGTCACGGCCGCTTCTGCATGGAGTTTCCGATTGGTAATCAACGAATTTGACCCCGGTATGTCTAGTCCGAGTTGGTTCACTTTAGCCATGAACGGCAGCAAATTATTAAATTCGAATACTCTCTATTGAGTGTTTCGAGGTGGGTTTTTACTAACTCATTGAATTGGCGAATATTTTTTTCACTTTTCACTAAGTTACTAGATAATCGAGGTGAAATAAAGGAGATGGCAAGTTGGTGGCGAGTTGCCACCGAGTCGTCCCGGACTCGAATCGGAGTGGAGTCAACAAATATGAATATACTTGTGCCAATTGTAATGTGATGATTTGATGGGTCATTCCTGTAAATAAAATGATCGAATTGAAAATTGAAAATTTTAGAGAAATTCTAGCTATTAATTTTTATTTACTTTGTTTTCAAAGTTGTTCGCCACCATAACCATTAGTAATTCTACGATATATTTCGTATACTAGAGGGCTATATAAAATAGTAAATGCGTATAACATATTTAAAAAGGTAAATTTCAACACATAAAATGAGAATAGTATCAGCTGGTTGGTGTAACGTGTTGGCCGTGGCCCGTTGTGGGAGTCGTCATGAAAAAGTGAGAATCGTCAATATAAAATTAAGAACAAGAATACAAGATTTACGTGTAAATCTAAAACGGAAAAAATCAGAGAAGAAAAATTTTACTATATCAAAGGTAATTACAAGAGGTGCAACTACTCTGAATAATATGATGTTATGATTCCATCATATATATAATAAAACAAGTCCAATCTCTTTGCTAGAGCTTGTGAGCTTTTCGAGTTGAGCCAAATAGAATTTGGGTCACCGTAGACGAATCATGATGTTAGCACCTCACGTGAGAGGAAGGAGGACATGCTGCTATTTGTTCTGTAAATAATTTGTTGTTTAGAGTCATTTATTTCACTTAACCTTTGTGCAATAAAATTATCGAAGTTGCAGCTGTTATTTTTGTTGCTTCCTTGAATGTAACTTTAAACATTCCAAAACAATTTCCTTTTTAATTTGAAACTTGTGTAGAAAAATACATTACTTTTTGAGTTTCTTATCATCTTTTATTTTACTGATATTAAGGCCGATGTTGGTATTATACAATTTAATTTGATTATCTGTTTGCGATAAATATATTAATTGCTTGTTTGGTAAAGACTAAAATCCAATTAAAATTGAAAATATAGTCGCTATTGAGTCTCACTCGATTAATAAAAGTCAACATTAACGGCTTATCTTTTATTTTACTGATATTAAGGCCAATGTTGGTATTATACAATTTAATTTGATTATCTGTTTAAATATATTAATTGCTTGTTTGGTAAAGATTTAAATCCAATTAAAATTGAAAATATAGTCGCTATTGGGTCTCAGTCGTTTAATAAAAGTCAACGTTAATGTTTAGTTTTTCAATTTTAATCTGATTTTAATCTCTACCGAACATGCCCTAAATTGTACCAAGTGACAAGAATTTTTTTTCTATACCTCCTCAAAATTTAATTTATTCACTTTATTATTGTATTTATTTTTGTGGGTGCAGATTAATAGATGTAACATGGTGTCAACTTATAGAAGAAATAATCATTGAATCAAGCGATTGTGCTATTAAACTTGTATTTATAATGTGTCAACATACTTGAAAGAATTTCAACTTCTTATTACTATCTCGATCTAGGTATTTTAGTATAATTCAAGAGGAGTAGAACTATAAATCATATCGTTCAGGGTGGACATACCGTGCTATTTCAGCCCTATTCAAAGATTGTATCAGGCTCGCTCATCACAGTCCATGTAGCTTAATTTTTTATTTTTTTAAAAAAATTAAGTCAAAGTCAAGAATTAATTTTAACTACTCATTTTTAATAGGCTCACAATTTTTCAATTACATATTTTAAAATTTTTACTATGATCTATTAAAACTTTGATTTTTATCTACACCAAGTAGGAGCAAAATAAACTTTTCATTGCCTACTACACTTGAGAAGAGTAGCGTGTGCCTCAATAATTTTAAAAAATGTTGATGTATTTTTCGAAGGAAAATACTAAGTGTACATAATAAATGTACACAATGATTGACACAATGTGATGTGGCACACATCCTGTTGTTGATGTGTAAATGTTAGATTTGAATTAAAGGTTTGAATGAATGCCACGTGTAATTATGTAGACCATTATGTAAAAAGTTATGTACTTGTAGCATCACTCTTTTTCGAATTGACTTTCACAAGTTATTTCGTGCACTCATAAAGAAGCGTTAGATGGTACGTAAGAAGGAAAATTTGACATTGACTCTTGTACATTTAATTCATGATAGAAATAGAAATGAAAAGTCAAGAGAACGATATTAGTCACCATAGAATATTTATTTTTAACTTACCAGTAACTTGTTGAGATTATGGACTGCCTCACTATTATTCACTTGGGCCAACTTATTCTGATTTAGGTTGAGTTCATTATGATAAAAACGTGTTGTTCAGGAACACGCCTTTGTGTTCTTGCTGTTTTCATTTATGTGATTTACCTTTTGTAATGATTTTTGTTTTAAATTGGCTTTGGAACCAACGAGTGGTATCGGAGCACCTTTCTTTAAATGATTTGGGTTAGAGTTTATTTATTTATTTTTAAAAACCTTAGTTTTTCAAAAGTCGTTTGAAGTTGCAAATCTTGAGATTCTTCAAAGTTTTCTGTAAGAAAATTTGCTTTTTGAAAAGGCTTATGGTTGATCTACCCTCGATTCAACTTTCTGGTTGGATCTCTTGGTTATTCTGGTATATTCTAGGTTATACCCGTGAGATCTAGTACGATCTCTTATTGTTCTTGAGGCTTTAATCGTTTTTCCTCTAAAAACCTTTTGACTCGTTCTTAATCTTGCGAGATCTGTTGTTTTTTTATTGAGTTCTGGCGATTCTGGTGTGACTCACTACTGAGTCCTAGTTGTTCCTTTACTGAGTTCTGATTAACTTAGTTGACTCGCTTCGATTTATGCTGATTTCTCTACTCATTGGTTCATTTCTGGTATTCTTTTATTGATCATCTCATTCTGTACTATCTTTATCTTTGCCCTACCATTATTAAATTGACTGTTAATTTTTGACTTGGTTATTAAGGTAAGTAACCTACCATTATTTTCCTTTGTCCAAGGTATCTTGTGAGGATTTAGGAATCTAAGGAACTAGTGGACTCAAGGGCTATCACCTACCCTATTTTGAAATTTACACATTTTGTGATTCTATAAAGTTGGTTAAGCCATTGTTTGGTACCCATTAAAATTTTCATTCTCATTCTTCTACTCTACTCATTTTCAACCACACATTCTTCATTAAAATAATATTTTCCATCACATCAATAACTTTTTCTTCTTCTTCAACCACACATTCTCCATCAATCTACTATTCCAGAATACATTCTTCCAAAATAATGTGGCTCAAACACACCCTAAATTTAAAATACTCTCTGTGTTTTATAATTGTACGTTTGTGATCATATTTTTCAACATAACCACTGCACACAAATTTGAAGTAGAGATTTGGAATGATACTAGAAACTTCAATCTCTGGCGCTAAAAAATGAGAGCTATGTTGTTACAACATAGATGTGCTGTTGCCCTTGATGGAACTTGGGCTATTAAAAATGAGAGCTATGTTGTTACAACATAGAGGTGCTATTGCCCGTGATGGACCTTGGGCTATTGAGATTAGTGCCTATACGAGAAAAGAATTAGATGAGGTTGCTTGAAGTTCCATTTTTCTACACCTATTTGATAGTTTAGTTAGAAAGGTTGGTGAAACCACTACTGCTGAAACTTTGTGGACTAAGTTGAGAACACTTTACTTAACTAAGACCATGTCTAACAAGTGTTACCTCTTAAGACAATTCTATAACATTGGATTTGACTTATCCTGTAGCCTAGAAGAGAACATTGACAAATTCAAAAACTAATTCAAGATTTGCCAAACTGTAATGAAAAAATTTCAGATGATCAACAGAGTGTTGCCCTGTTGTATTCTTTAAGTGATAAATAAAAGAAACTTAGAAATGCCTTGGAATATGAGAGAGATGCATTGACTGTTGATATTCTTTTCTCGGCGTTGAGGAATAGAAAACTTGAATTGAAAACTGAATTCAAAGATTCTAAAAATGGTGAGGGGCTACGTATAAAAGAAAAACTAAAGCAAAACAGAGTAATAAGAATAATTTGTGTAATTACAATTCTTACAAGAAAGGTAAACCTCAAAATCTTAGATTCAGAGATAAAAATAAGAATCAAGTAAAATCTAAGAACCAAGTCAGAAATATTATTATTGTGGAAAGACAGGACACTTAATAAAAGATTGCTTTAAGAAAATTTTTGATATGAAAGACAGGAAAAATTCTGATGGTTTTGTAGCTATTGCACGCAAGAATGATTTTGATATCCAAAATGTTGTTTTTGTGAGCACGACCAAAAGAGACTCAAAAGTATGAGTTCTTGATTCGGGCTGTATTTTCCACATATGCCCCATCAAAGAATGGTTTACTGAATTTGTTGATCTCAATGGAGGACAAGTTCAAATGGGCAACGACATGAGTAGTCAAATTAAAGGAATAGGAAAATTGAGTTAACTATTAAACAATAAACACATACTTGAATTAAATGAAGCCAGATATGTACTTGAACTGCAGAGAAATCTAATTTCCATAGAAGAATTAGATGAGAAATATAATATAAGGATTCACAGAAGTCTCATAAAATTGAACCTTTATGACAAAGAAGTTATTTCTTCTCCTAAGATAAATGAAATTTACACTCTACATGTTGAACCTTTAATAGGCTACAGTTCTGCAACTGTAAACTCCATTTCTAATAAGTTTTTAGTCTGGTATAGAAGACTTGGCCACATTAGTGAAAATGGATTGATCATTTTGAACAAACTTGGATGTTTTGGAAGTGATAATATTGAAAAGCTAATTTTTTTTTGAAGACCGTGTAATTGGAAAATAGAGCAGACTACTTTTAAAATCTGAAATTCATAAATCCACTT